AGAGAGGAGGGAAAGGGAGGGTGAGAGAGTTTCTGGGAAAATTTTCCAAATTATTAATCACGGTTTTGTTTGTTATTGATACATCCTCATACAAATTTCATAAAGCTTTCTTTATGGAGAGACAATTATAAAATAATCACAAAGGAAAATATTTACCAACTTTTTGATGATTTTTCCTGAAGAAAATTATATGGCTATCTTCACCGTAATCTTTTTCGAGCTTTCAAACTTTTCATTGTATTCACGTACCGCCCGTGTCCGCTGAATACTTCCTATCTGATATTCATACTATATCGGCGATGAGCTCGGTGTGGGTGTGGTGAACGACCCGTTAACCATCATTCGGCCAACCGACGCAACAATTAGATCCGCACGGATAATGCCGGCTCTTCCTGTAACGCGAAACCCGCGGACGTTACGCCCGTGTCTCGTTTCATGCGTATTCACGTATTCTGTAGTATCAGCGTGCTTGCATTAAACCCCGAGCTCGATACGAGAGCTCGGTAGAGTATTTAGATGGAAATATTTTATCTTCTTATTTTCATCTTTCACATCGGACCTTTAATCCAATCTTCTTCCAACGTAGATAAAATTCTACGAATATAAATATATCGTTCGAATATAAAAGTGAAAAGAACTAATGACAGCAATGGGAGGTAATAAATGCGCAAATTTCATTAAATGAATATAATTCTTAATGAATAATTATAGCGTTAAGCGGATACTGTAATTGAACGGTTCGGCTTACGCTTTGGTCATTCATTAGCGAAGCAAATGAATGCAGCGTTAGTACTGCTATTATAAGAGATACACCGAAAGAAAAGATTGGTTGCTGCGACAATTTAGATAGTAAAATATGGCATAGCATTTTTATATGACTGCAGCAATCAGTTTTCGGTTGTAGCAGCAAATTTTTAGTTGCGTTAACCTATTAACAATGTTAATATATAATTTCGATAAGCTAACGCAACTAAAAATGTGCTGCTACAACCAGAAACTGATTGCTGCAGCCATATAAAAATGCTATGCCATATTTTACTGTCTAAATTGTTGCAGCAACCAATCTTTTTTTTCAGTGTAGAATAATAGTAGATTGACAATATATCGGTTTCATTCGTTATTGAAGATAGCCAAAAGCGTAAGCCAAAATATATAACTGTATTCGCTTAATGTTGTGAAATTATTTAATAAGAATTATGTTTATTTAATGAAATTTGCGTATACTAATTACTGTGTCAGTTCCCATTAACCTTTTTCATTTTTATATTTGTTCAGAAGTTTAAATTACTTTTTTTATCTTTTAAATTACAATAGCAATAAAATTATAATGTTCTGATATAAAATATTATATGAAATGCACGTATCGTTGTAGCGTTACAATTATCGTAGGTGAAAAAAGATTAACAATGTGTAATTAAAAAATTTCGCTAAACAACAGGAAATTCCACGAAGAACACGAAAGAGAACCGCATGGAAGAGATTAAGATATTTTTCGAATACTTTAAATATTATTTTTAAGCATTGATTCATCAGTTTATCACAGTAGGTATTATTCAACAGGAATAGGTGAGAATGGGACATCGTAAAACTTCAGCCAGACTCCTTTGGGACTTTCATTGCCGCACACGGTTTGCATAGTCAAATGTAAATGCCGTGAGACGTGAGTAGCTCGTATGTCTCCGTGTGTACTCACATCGTCCTGCGCCTTGTGGCTCTTCCATCGAAATAACCTGTCCATCTGGCAGGTGACAGAAGCGCGATTATTTCCTCAAACTTCGCGAAAGATCACTTGACTCCCATCTCGAGCGGCTTCATCGATGCCCGGACGTCACACGTGGACGGCTTCATTTATCATTAATATTGGATATATTTTGATTTTACATGAATCGAGAGGACGCCAAACGGTCCATCATGTAGTCTTCCTTCAGCACTTTCAGAACTCGGTTTGACGTTTCCAAGAGTAACAAGATAACGGCATTATTATAGTAAACTACCTAGACTAAAGAAATTAAAGACAATAACATCGCACTGCTTGCGATTTTTCTTTAAAAAAAAAAGGGAGGGGAGGGGGAACTGATTCAAGTGTGTCTAATTATTTTTTAAATTTTATAATAGCGACATTATTTTTCTCACTACAATTTTACACCGCTTTCGTGATCTGTTTATAACGGATTTTCTCCGCTGCGTAAAAATAGAGGATATCTAGACGCCTGAATCGAATTGCGAGAGGTGTTTTTCCTCTAAATAAATTAATTGAGGGTTCCGTGAAAGGACCGTCTCCGAGCGAATCTACAATTTAAGCTATACATTGTCAGCCACTACTATTACTGCATGTAGTTGCTGCTGTAAGATTAATTAGATCGCAACGCACGGGCTGAGGGGAACGGACGGCTGGAAACGCGCGGACGGACGGCGGTATCGCGGCTGTCGTTGTGATACGAGCACTGGATGCTGATCCGCGAGGGATTCAACGTGAAGGCTGGTCGGTCCACGTCCCACTCACCCTCTCGATTCCCTCCGCTGCATAGAGGACGGTGCCGAGGACCTCACCGCTTCTCTTTCTCTTTCTCTCTTCCTGGTTCTCTCGATTCCTGGCACGAGAAGCGCTTGCGCGTCTATCGATTCTGTCGGTTCCTGCAGGAACATCGCACGCAACGCCTTCCTTCCTGCGTATCGTTCCAGTGAGAACACTAGAGTGTCCTTTACTATTCTTTTGTCGAAGATAACCATTTTTCCTTAATCAAGTTGAGAAGAGCTCTTGGAAGCTCTGAAATCGTGCTTTCGAAAGTTCTCCGAAAACACGTTCCTACATTGTGAAACGTTGCGACGAGGGTAAGGTTACAAACTTTCGGTTTGTCGAGTTTTAAAAAACGAAATGTGGAGGTAATAATCATATT